TTTTTAAAATCCAATGTGTGGATCACATAATATTTCAAAAATTTTAACTTTTGAGTATAGATGATCCGCACTGTATTTCCCAGACTAATAATAAAGCGAAAAATAAGAATTATCATACGTGGTACAGTTATATGAACTTCTATGCAGATTCATCCGTGATGTGATTGGTTGGTAATTATTCCAGTTTAACGATCAGGCTCCGGATCTAATTGGCATTATATTGAGGCGTGATGTAATTTACATAGTTCAATAATTAGGCATTTGCCAACCTCCAGCTAATTTTACCCTTCACTTTACGCTTTCGAATAGGGTGTTTCTTTGCAGATACAGTCATGTGCATATTATCTTCGGCATCAGAAAGAGATTTCTTAATCATATTCGTAAGCTCCTCCAATTTTAGGCCAAGTTTACTCTCACCAGAGGCAGTCGTATAATGGTCAGCTTTGCTCTTCTTCTTTTGAGGACAATTGTAAGAATTGGATTCTGATGAATCGGTCTCTGTTCTAGAATCAGAATGGTCTAATGATTTATTTTTACTAGAGCTGACTTTGTTAAAATCGTTTTTGATCGGAATACTCATACCATCTATTTCATTTTTGTATAAAAATCATTAATTTCAGAAGAAAACCCGAAACCTATTTTTGCTTTATGTATCCATAACCAATCTTGTCCTAATACCAGATCAAATGGTGGATTTTTTCGAATTATAAAGTCAATTGTTTCAATACCATCCAAGCTTTGCCACCTCCCTTTATAATGAAATCGTAAATCTAGACCTTTTATTTCTTCACCTATCAGATCATCACCGAATTGACATTCTAATCCGTAATCAGATTCAAGCTTATTTGCTAATAGTATTGGATTTAGATGTTATATTGATTAATGCTTTAACTGGGGTTTTTCCTTCTACTAGCGTATTGATGAACATGTTAAATATATTTAATGATGTACAGTGTGTAATGAAAAAAAATGACCTCTAAATTTGTTTTCTAAGAAAGTAACCAAAATCCAAAGCCGCATAATAAAAATTATGTCAAAGAATCAAAAGATCATAAATTATTACATGTAAAAATTTTGAAGCATATTATTATGTGGGCTTTAGAGCAATGATTAAAAAACTTTGCATTGAAATTTTTCTAGTTGAATTTCTTTTATTTTTAATTGACAAATTTTTAGAAAATATGGGTACATATAGTTTTATATAAATGATCTTCGGAACTTAAGCTACAAATTAATATATATTTTTTATATGATTATTATGTGTGTTTTTGTGTTAAAGCAATTGTTAAAAAGTTTCATGTTAAAATTTCGGAGGCAAAAATTTAAAAAAAATTAAAAAAAGAGACATGATTTGACCTTACAAAAAATTGGCAATAGTATTTTATATTGAGTTTTTTTTTAAATAAAGTAATTGATTGACTTTTAAATGAATCTAATTTTGTTTAATTATCTCATGTATTTCTTGGGTAGTTTAATTTTTTGTGAGGTCAATTTTTTTCATTACACACTGTATATTATCTGGAAAAAATAACTAATAAATAATTACCCATTCTTCGATATTAAATGCAATCATTTGTAACCCATGATGAATAATTAGGAATAATCACACCAGTCTCTCTGATATAATTATTGATTGCAGAAATAAGATCTGTTTTGTCTAATGTATTGATTAAAACTAACCTATTCCGTCCACTGGTGAAGATTGGAGTATGTAAATCATTTGAATAATCAGGATATTCGATTTTAATTTTCAGATTGAGTTTTTAATCACCTCTTCGCTAATTCCTTTACATCCCTCCAAACCAAGATATTTCAAATTAGTAGTACAGTGTTGATTTCCAAAATTAGAGAGTTTCGCAACCATGCGAAAGTCAAAAGGTTTTGCCATAAGTCAAAACTAGTTTTGATTTTTGACTATTGACTTTTGATTTAGTTTTGACATATAACTTTTAATTTTATGTAGAGTGGGCACAAAATCATCTTAATGATAATTGGGGGAAACCCCTATTTTCAGATGAGACAGCTTTCCAGCTTTACCGAAACACAATTGAAAGATGGTATAAGAATGTAAGACCCATTCGCCCAATGCCAAAAGATCGCACCAAAATTTTTGCTTGGGGTGGCTTTTGCATCCATGGAAAGACCAGTCTTTTTTGCTTCCGAGAAATTATGAATGCAGAATTTTATGTTGAAATATTGGAGAATCATCGCCCAGAGATCCAAAGAATGTTAGGGGATGATTGGTGGTTTCAACAGGATAATGATCCCAAACATACAAGCCACCGAGCCAAAACATTTCTTCAAGAAAACTTTCCCGAAGTTATGGATTGGCCATCCAACAGTCCTGATTTAAACCCAATAGAAAATTTGTGGGCTATTGTTAAGAGGAATGTGGAGAAGAGAATGCCAAAAAATCTGGCAGAATTGGTGCAGTTTATGGCTGAGGAGTGGGATGCAATTCCTAATTCACTTCTAATTAGTTTAATTCATTCAATGAAATCGAGATGTGAACTGGTCATTGAAAATAATGGCGAAAGGATTTCTTATTAAAATATTATCAATAAAAATTATGATTTTAAGCTATCAAATGAGCCATTTTTCACACGAACTAATACAGTAGTTGTTTCACAATGTTCATTTAAAAATTTCCAATTTTTTTTGTAACACACTGTATAAATAATGTTTAAATTTTCTTCATTTTTTTTGAATTGTAGAATTATCTTATTATCTTCATCTCTAAAAAAACAATCATAAGTATAAAGAAACTCTTTGACAGTGAAGAATAAAAGGATAGTCTTTATACTAATCCCATATAATTATTTTTTTTTTGGGTAGGCTTTGGTTTTCTAAACCTAGTTTGAAAAGTAAAGCATAAATATGGGACATACTGCAACAAAACCAGATAAAGTGAACATTGGTATTACCAAGGATTTCAGGGATCAATATTTGTAATGTGATTATTAAAATCTCCATTTGTTTGTTATTTTAATATTCAGTAATATATAGAGTTACTCCTATATAAAAATAGTTAATATGAAACTAATTTATATCAGGTCTATTATGGAACCCAAGAATTACAACACCATTAGAAGTATTTTGAAAAAGGAACAAGGTGAAAAAATTGCTCCTTACATTTTCAAAATAAATGATACTCAGTCACTTGAAACTTATCTAAGAAAAGAAAAGATTACTTATGAAATTTACCAAAAAAGAAAAATAATAAATGAAAATAGTTTAATTAGTAACTTGGAAAAGAATCTTACTGCAGCTACAATCATCACCACCATTACCCTCAAGAAAATTTCGGATTAAGCACCAATTCAGAAATCAAAGTTCTACAAAATTCATTTTAAAAAAATGTTCAAATTTTCATTATGTGTTTGTTCTAATGTATCACATGATTAATTAGTATTCTATCAGATGCAAAAAACGGCATGAAATAGTTTTTTGTAGAGATTGGACCCGGGTTGGGTCCAACCGGGTCATGAAAATTACCACCCGGGTGGAGAAAAATGAATGTAACACAATGGTACGTCTGATTTATAATTCAATTTTTTTTACATTTCATGATTTTATCAACAATATTGTTAGAGTTGTCTTGTTACATATTAATATATACTAATTATTTTTGTTTTTTGGATTTTGTGTAATGCCACAATGACATTTAACATACAGATTATCCAACCTCTTATAAATAATAATTTAGTCAACAGTATTGTCAGAGTTGCCTTGTTACATATTAATATATTAATGTTTTTGAAAAAGAACATTGGATGCGAATTTCCATATAATATATACCATAATTCATTTTTATAAATAATAATTCAAACAGTTTATATTGTAAAGTTTGGAATTAATAAAATTATTTTTTTATCATTTATGTAAATTAAATCCATATATAGAAAGATCTGTTCACTACGTCGGGTAAACCCGCGGGTCACCCGGGTGAAGTTTTTTTAGACGGGTCCAATCTCTAGTTTTTTGATTCAAATATACAACTTTGTGTGAATATTATTATTTATTAGCTGCTATAGTTAGAGAATATATATAAGGAGCAGATTAGACAAGAGACTATATACAATACAGTAAATAGAATCAATTAAGTTTAAATTTATTTATTTTAAATTAATACTTTTGAATTTTTATTTAAGGGATCTTTTGGATACTGACAAAGATGGAAATTCAATAGAAATGAATTTTGTAGAGGAATGTTTTTGATTGACAAAAGACTTAAGGAAATCCAGTTCCTGATAATTTACCAAAAGAATGACACAAAGTTTCAAAATTTGTAAATTATTTTTTCTTCCTTGTTTGAATAATTTTTAATTCGTTTGCACAGTATAAATTTTATATTATGATAAATATTATTAGAGTTTCTCATGAATATATTTTTAATAATAAATTTGATAATGAATAGATCATTGAATGTGTGTATATTCCTTGTCATTATATTTTTTTCTTTGATGTAAATCTAATTAATTACATGAAATCTGCATATGATTCCAGACCACCTTTCATTCTTTCCCTCCTTTCTCTTCTTTGGAATTCAATATTTTCATCCTGCCATTCTAATTTATCTTTTTCAGTTTCAACTCTTTGCTGTAAATCTTCATCTGTAAGTTTCAAAGATTTCTTCATTTTCTCAACTTTTTTTAAGAATTTTTTTTGCCCATTTAATCTATTTAATAATTTTTTACGATCATATTTACTAATTTTTGCAAATAATGACGATCAAGATTAGCCCACTCTTCCATCAAAAAAGAAACTAATTCATTTGTATTTTTTGGAGGATTCCTTTTGCGAATTGCTTTTTCTAATTAGTCCCAAACATGTTCTATTGGATTAAGGTCTGGGCTTTGAGCAGGCCAAGGGAGTGAAGATATTAAATTTGCCTCTTTCCATTGAATTACTACACCAGCTGTATGAACAGGAGCATTGTCATCCTGAAATGTAAAAGAACCATCTCCCAGTCTGTTAAGAAAGTGCAATAGATTATCTCTAAGAAGTTCTTGATAACCTTTACCATTAATTTTACCATCTATTACCACCAAAGGTCCTAGACAATTATTAACAAAACAACCCCATACCATTATACCACCTCCACCATGTTTAAAGGTAGGTACAAGGCAATCAACATCATACTTTTCTTTTGGTAGACGCCAGACCCTTTGCCTACCATCATTTTGATGCAAATTATATCTTGATTCATCACTCCAAATGACATAATTCCATTCTGTGTTCCAATTCTTCCGTTCTTTGCACCATTTTAAACGTTTCTGATGATTTTTTTCTGAAATTAAAAGGTTTCCTTAATGCAACCCGACTATAATAACCTTCTCCATGAAAATAATTATGAATAGTTGCACTACAGATAGAAGTGGACAAACATTCATTTACTGAATCAGTAATTTGCTCAATAGGCTTATCTCGATTTTTTTTGGTAATTCTTTTTACTTGTCTGACATCACGATCATTTAAGGCTGAAGGTCTTCCACTTCTTGGAGCAATAGTAGTTTGACCTTCTCCTTTAAATGCTTGTATTGCACGAGTTACTTGTGACTGAGAATGATGGAGTGCACTGGCAATGTTACGAGTGCTTTCACCTGCTTCCCAACGCCCAATTATTCTTCCTCGTTCAAAGTCTGTTAATTGAGACATGATGTTTTAATTGAAATAACAAATTGAAAGTTCAATCTTTTTTTTAAAAAAAAAAATCTAGTCTTGGTTCCGACTACCTTTTGCCCACAATTAGCACAGACTTTATAGTTTGACATAGATATTTCAGCCGCAATTGCCCTTTAAAGTTTGTTCACGCATAATGATAATAGGGTTTTTATTCATGAATATCATGAATATCATTAAGGGGGTTACACACTATTAAACCAGCAAAAAATCCCTTTAAAACATGAGTTGATCACTTGATTTTAATAGTGCGTGATCCTGTGTGACCCCCTTATGATATTCATGAATACAAACCCTAAATGATAATCTTCTTGCATAAAAAATTATTTACGATTTTTTTTGCGTTTTGTATTAATTCTCTATGAATATTCTGCCAATAATTATGAACATTCATATTTATATATTTGAAAACAAATGGAACAACATTTTCTAAGTTCCCAAGATGCGTTAAAACATTGTATCTTAAAATAGCTCTAAGTGCCACTTTTTCGAAAAATTTTACTTTGACTTTTAAACATCATAAAATTATCAATAACGATCGGTCCGATGTGGTATTTTAGAATGTTATAGGAATCATTTCGTTAAACATTTTCTCACTAATACACAACATCGATTTGCTTAGTAAAAAAATGAGTATTTTTATTACCCATTTACCCGATTATTTTCGCGGATCATCAAGTGAGTCGATACTTTTTTTAGGGGAGTGTAAATTCTTAATTGGTTTTTTAACTGTCCAAGTCTGGCTATTCTATATAATATAAAGAAAATAAATTTTTTATTTAAAATAATATATACGAATGTGATAAACATAAAGTGTATATATATATCAGATTATTTGTTAAATACCTTTAAACAATAGCATCCTTCATTCCCTTCATTTGCTGTAATAATTGCTAAATCAGTGTAATTGAATTGAGTTCCATATAATTCAAAAAATTCTATAATTAAAACATCAAGATTGCTATCATCATCCATTTTTAAAGTTCCATAACATGGGAACAGGAGGGAACGTACTGGGAACACTGTAGAGTGGGCACAAAATCATCTTAATGATAATTGGGGGAAACCCCTATTTTCAGATGAGACAGCTTTCCAGCTTTACCAAAACACAATTGAAAGATGGTATAAGAATGTAAGACCCATTCGCCCAAATGCCAAAAGATAGCACCAAAATTTTTGCTTGGGGTGGCTTTTGCATCCATGGAAAGACCAGTCTTTTTTGCTTCTGAGAAATCATGAATGCAGTCAGGAATTTTGCTAAATCGGGATGTGTAACAAACAATGTTCTAGAAAATTTTTCCCCAATAAAATTTCATAAAAAAGCCATTTTTCTTTATTGATCTTGTGACTTTTTTTTTTAAGAAACCTAAAAAAAAAACCGAAGAATTATATAGAAATGCATATATTAAACCATAATCAGTCAATAATCAGTTCGGAGCGTTGAGGGATCTCAGTGA